GAGAGGGTAGTTGATGCATGGAATAGCCATCCAGCTGAAGTGGTAGAGGTTAACACAGTAAAGGAGTTTAAGCATGCGTGGGATAGGCATAAGGCTATCCTAACTATAAGATAAGGCTAGGGACTAATGAAAGTATTTAGAAAATTGGGCAGACTAGATGGGCCGAATGGTTCTTATCTGCCGTCACATTCTATGTTTCTATATAACTTCTATATACATGGTTAAGTGAATAAATGCCTTTAGAAATGTGAGCATTCACAGGGAGTCTGGTTTGCAAGGCTTAGGTCAAAGGTTATTATAAACAGGCCCTTCATCCATCATTCTTAACAAGAACCATATGTTGACCATCCATGTGCAATGAAAAGTCTGTTTGCTAATATATGCCTAGGTATGGCTTCTCAATTTCAGTTTCAGTGTTCTGGAAGTAATTTGAATAAAAACTTATAATATTCATATAACAAAAACAATCGTACAACACATCAAATATTTAAAGTTCATTAAATATTCTTTAATGTTCGCCGTTCGTAGGATCCTCGTGAGTGGTTGAAAGGCTCGTCTCCAGTCTAAGGATCGGCATAGGTCTTGCATAAACTGGAGCTGCATAGGTCTTGCATAAACTGGAGCTGCATTGTTTCGAATTGAAGTGGTGTTTTGTTTTTTCACAGCTTCTTGGGTTGCAAGTTTGTCCCGGAGCAGGAGCCCCAGCCGGAGTCCTGCTAGATTTTGCGAGGCGGAAACAGCCATCGATTTGGATGCCCCTTGCAGATTGTTGGGTCAGCAGAGTACACAGGAGTCGCCTAATTAAATCTGGCAATTCTTGGTCACTAATTGTTTCAGTTATACCTCTTATTTTGAGGTTTTTGCATCTCTGTGCATCATCCATGGTATCAATTCTGATCTGCATGGCTTTATTTGTTGCCTGGAGTTGTTGCATCTGCTCTTTGGTGCTTGTCTGCTGTTGTGTGATGGAGTGGATGCAGTCCTCTGTAGCCTGAACTCTGGCAGTGACTACTGTGATATCGTCCCTTAATATGTTTAAAGCAGCATTCAAAAACACACGGATGTTGTTCATTAGTGCAGGAGGACGCTGATGTCGCGGGAGCCTTCTCCTGTGATGGTTCAGAGCTTTTTTGCTCTCTTCCCCATACTGCTGCCTACTGCCGGTCGCTGGCTCAGATGATTGCGGGTAGGAGGCCGGTGATATCGGGTTTTTGGTGCTGTGTGTAGCCGGAGCTCAGCCGACATGCGTCCGCTCAGGTCAGTATCCAAGCCACCCATATATTTTTTATTTACAATATTGCATTATATATTTTATATTTCTGTTTGTTTGTTTTTGTTATATATGAGACTGTATGACCCCTATTCCAACATGTAACTGTTCTGGGGTCATTCTCCAGAACATCATTTTTTTTCACTGTTTTGAATTTTGGAGTTGGATTAGAGAAGAATATCTACACAAGTGGTGTAGCAGCTAGCTATTCTTTCACTTATCCAAGGGCCTGTTTCCTCTTTTGGTGTGTATGAACTTAAGAGTATTACTCATGTAAATCACTCTATGTTTGCTATTTTGAAGCCATGGCTTACTAAGCTCATTTCTCCTTAGAGTGCAAAATAAACAAAACATTTCTCTTCCATACACTAGTGATCTAATCATAGAGGTCATTTAGGGCTTTAAGAGTATTAATTATGCTATATTTGCTTTAATTTTCTCAGCACAAGTGGAAAACCCCTGTGACATACCAGCGCAGGCCTATAAAGAACAATTCTCTGTGAAATGTAAGACCGCGATGGGAACATTCTTCAAAAATAAATGGAATGGAGGTTAGTATGGCCTAGGTACAGAGTCATTTATTCTAAATTGATTTTACTTTTTTACTAATAAATTGACTTGTGTCCCAAAGTGGCAATAACTTTTCTAAACTAAAATGTGTAGATATTCCCCAGGTAGCCAATGAGGAACATGGGAATGAACATCGAGTAAAGTGCCTGGTTAACACAGAATTCCTAGAAGTGAAGAGATATATTAACCCCTTAAGGACTGGACTGTTTTTGCGATGTTGTACATTTGCGACCCGGCCTCTTTTTACACTTTTGTGGTGTTTGTGTTTATTTTAATTACTTATTATTTGTATTTTATAATAATATATATATATATATGTGTGTGTGTGTGTGTAATTTAATTATAAGTGTATTTTTATAGTAATATATGTACATATTAATATAAAAATACAATTAGTATGACATTATATATATATATATATATATATTATATATATATGATATATAGACATTATATCTATATATCATATATTATGTCATATGTCATACTGTCAGATTTCATCCTACACACCCCCAAATGGTCCCACCATCTGAGAGGCCCCAGTCTTGCTAAGAAAGAGGGTCAGGGGTCCTTTGCGTCAAAGGGGTAGCCCCACATGCCCACTTCACTTTCACTTCAGTCGCTTATGTCACTTTGTAACCAGGGCTCCCAAACCCTGTCAAACTTTTTTTAGTGATCCTCCTGTGATGGCAGTCAATTTGTCCATAAGACAAATTTCTTTCTTTTTTTGTATAACTATGGATATGACAGGGGCCAATCAAATTGAACACTAGGGTATTTATACTCACCTTTCCCTTAGCTCCCTGCCCTATCGTGGTTTCTGATTCAGTTCTCTTTAGTACTTGAATCGTTCAGTAGTGGTTTTTTCGTGCTTGACCTTGGCTTTGTATCTGACTCCGTTTTTCTCTTTATCCCTGCTTTGTCTTATTTGCTGGCTTCCTGACTCCTGTCAAAAAAGCTCTGAACCATCACAGGAGAAGGCTCCCGCTAGTTCTTGTTTTCGCTGTCTCTCTGTTCCCTTGACCTCAGCTCGTTCCTGACTCTGTCACTTCTCTGTACTACGTCGAGTCCGGCCATTCTAAGGCCAGGTAAGACGTATCTGCTTTATCTTGTCTCTTGTTGGTATAAATCTTGCGTGTTGGGGTACACTACCGTGACATTACGATAGGGCCTTGCACCCTGCAGATTTAGGTCAGCAGATGGCTTCTCATAAGGCTAGATTTGTAGAGCAGGATCATCGTATGGATCAGATGGCTCAGGCCATCCAGACACTCTTATCCAGAACGGCTCCGGTACCTGTACCAGCTCCTCCTGCACCCCTTGTACCAGACACATCTACCATACCTAATGCTTCTGCACATCTAACCCCTTCACCTAGGTATGGAGCTGATGCTAAGACATGCAGGGGATTCCTTAATCAAGTGGAATTCCACTTTGAAATGTATCCACGTTAATTTCCCACTGATAGGTCTAAGGTTAGTTTCCTTATGCACCAACTTACAGATAAAGCACTTGAGTGGGCAAATCCTATTTGGGAGGCTAATGGACCTATGGTGCATGATTTCAATAGCTTCCTTATGACTTTTCGTAGAACCTTTGACAGAACTAAAAGGTCGAAGAATGCCGCCAGGGCGTTAATGAGAATTAAACAGGGATCTAAGTCTGTTGCCGATTATGCTATTCAGTTCCGTACCCTTGCTTCACAGGTAGATTGGACTAACAATGGGATGACTACTGAGTTCATGGAAGGTCTATCTGAAACTATATTGGATGAGGTAGCGGCCAGGGACCTTCCTATACCCTTAGAAGATCTCATTGACTATCTCATTGATATAGACAATAGGATTCGTGACAGGCTATATACCAAGACTAGGAATAGACGCCTTGTTACACTTAATACTTCTAGAGTTGCTAATCCTGAGGGTTCCAAAGTATTAGAAGAGGAACCCATGCAATTAGGGGTTGCTAAACTCTCTGATGCTGAAAAATTGTATAGGAGAAAGGAGGGAATTTGCCTGTACTGTGGTAGGAAGGGCCATAAGCGACAGGAATGTCCTGTGCGTCCGGAAAACTATCGCACCTAAGACTGTATAGGGGACTGGCCTTGGGTGTGACATCTGAGTTCCCACATTTGCCTCTTAACAGATTGCTTCTCCCTGTCTCCCTGCATCTTGAAAAAAATAGCATAGCAGAGAACATACTAGCCCTGGTTGATTCCGGTACGGCCGAGAACTTCATAGATTCTGGCTTTGTTAAAAAACACAATATACCCATTAGAGAGAAGAAGACACCCTTGGCGATTGAGGCCATAGATGGTAGACCATTATTCTCCCCAGTTATCACACATGAAACTGAACCGTTGCATATGTCTACATGGTTGTTACACTCAGAAACCATTTGGTTTCAGCTCATCTCTTCTCCTTCCTCTCACATCGTGTTAAGGTACCCATGGTTGCGTTCTCACAATCCCACTTTTGACTGGGAGTCAGGACAAATAGTATCTTGGAGTGATTCTTGCCAAGAGTCTTGTATCGTTAAAATCACTCCTTTAAATTCTATTAACGTTCCTACTACTCCTCTTTTGTCTACTGTTATACCACCTCAGTACATTTCTTTTAAGTCTCTCTTCGATAAAAGGGAGGCTGAAATGTTACCACCTCACAGACTCTACAATTGTGCTATTGATTTGTTACCTGGCGCTATACCTCCCAAAGGGAGGGTGTATCCTTTGTCTCCTCAAGAAAACCTTGTCATGGAGGAATATATCAAAGAATCTTTACAAAAGGGGTTTATAAGGAGATCCTCTTCTCTGGCAGGGGCTGGTTTCTTCTTTGTGTCGAAGAAGGAGGGTGATTTAAGACCCTGTATCGACTATAGGGGCCTTAATAAAATCACCATAAAAATGCTTACCCTATACCTTTAATCATGGAATTATTTGATAGGCTTAAACAAGCTACTGTGTTTACTAAACTGGACCTTAGGGGTGCATACAATCTCATACATATAAAAAAGTACCATGAATGGAAAACTGCATTCAATACTAGGAGTGGTCATTACAAATACACTGTGATGCCCTTTGGTCTTTGTAACGCCCCAGCAGTGGTTCAATAGTTTATTAATGATATCTTACGAGAGTACATTCACACATTTGTAATAGTGTACTTGGACGACTTCGTGCTCCTATTTTACAGCATCCTGTCCCTTCTTTGCCTCTTATTCTTGAAGTTGATGCTTCAAATATTGTGGTGGGTGCTGTCTTGTCTCAAAGGGAATCACCAGAGAAGCCATTACATCCTTGTGGTTTATTTTCCAAGCAGATGTCCAAGGCCGAAAATAATTATGACATAGGCAATCAAGAACTCCTTGCAATTGTTGTAGCACTTGATTTTTTAGAGCCGATACCGATACCGATATTCTGTGAACTTTCAGGCCGATAGCCGATATAATTTGCCGATATTCTGTACATTTACCATTTTGGAAAATAAAAACTATTTCTAAAGGTAAATGCACAAAATATACATGCCACATGTAGTGGATGCAGTGTGTTTAGACAGGGGAGCTGTGTGTGTTTGTGTAGTGTGTGTAGTGGATGCAGCGTGTGTTTGTGTAGTGTGTGTGTAGTGGATGCAGCGTGTGTTTGTGTAGTGTGTGTGTAGTGGATGCAGTGTGTATTAGTGTAGTGTGTATATAATGAA